TTCGAACAGGACACTATTATTTGATGTGAATAACATATTTGTCGCGCACCATCGTGTTTTAAAGCATAATCGTATACATTTAAAATAGTCATGGAAAATATTAGTAATAGAGGTAAAAATGAAAAATTGTTCGACGTCTCCGAAAAAGCATGGTTTCGAACAAGACACTATCAATTGATGTGAATAACATATTTGTCGCGCACCTTCGTGTTTTGAAGCAAAATCGTATACATTTCAAGTAGCCATGGAAAATAGTAGTAATAGAGGTAAAAGCGAAATATTGTTCGACGTCTCCGGAAAAGCATGGTTTCGAACAGGACACTATCATTTGATATGAATAACATATTTGTCGCGCACCATCGTGTTTTCAACCAAAATAGTATACATTTAAAATATCAATGGAATATAGTAGTAAATAGAGGCAAAAGTGAAAAATTGTTCGACGTCTCCGGAAAAGCATGGGTTCGAACAGGACACTATTATTTGATGTGAATAACATATTTGTCGCGCACCAACGTGTTTTGAACCAAAATAGTATACATTTAAAATAGCCATGGAAAATAGTAGTAAGTAGAGGACACTATTATTTGATGTGAATAACATATTTGTTGCGCACCATCGTGTTTTGAAGCAAAATCGTATACATTTAAAATAGCCATGGAAAATAGTAGTAATAGAGGTAAAAATGAAAAATTGTTCGACGTCTCCGGAAAAGCATGGTTTCGAACAGGACACTATCATTTGATGTGAATAACATATTTGCCGCTCACCATCGTGTTTTGATGCATAATCGTATACATTCAAAATAGCCATGGAAAATAGTAGTAATAGAGGTAAAAATGAACAATTGTTCGACGTCTCCGGAAAAGCATGGTTTCGAACAGGACACAATAATTTGATGTGAATAACATATTTGTCGCGCACCTTCGTGTTTTGAACCAAAATAGAATACATTTAAAATAGCGATGAAAAATAGTAGTAAATAGAGGCAACAGTGAAAAATTGTTCGACGTCTCCGGAAAAACATTGTTTCGAACAGGACACTATCATTTGATGTGAATAACATATTTGTCGCGCACCAACGTGTTTTGAACCAAAATAGTATACATTTAAAATAGCCATGGAAAATAGTAGTAAATAGAGGCAAAAGTGAAAAATTGTTCGACGTCTTCGGAAAAGCATGATTTCAAACTGGACACTATCATTTGATGTGAATAACATATTTGTCGCGCACCATCGTGTTTTGAACCAAAATCGTATACATTTAAAATAGCCATGGAAAATAGTAGTACATAGAGGCAAAAGTGACAAATTGTTCGACGTCTCCAGAAAAGCATGGTTTCGAACAGGACACTATTATTTGATGTGAATAACATATTTGCCGTGCACCATCGTGTTTTGAAGCAAAATCATATACATTTAAAATAGCCATGGAAAATAGTAGTAATAGAGGAAAAAATGAAAAATTGTTCGACGTCTCCGGAAAAGCATGGTTTCGAGCAGGACACTATCATTTGATATGAATAACATATTTGTCGCGCACCATCGTGT